AAAGTATGTGAGAAGAATAGAACTTTAGGCTCAACTACTTCATCAGCTTTTAAGCAAGCTCTTTCACTACATTCTAGTCAAACTTTACCACCTGACCAAAAAAACCTATTTCTCCCCCCCATTTCCATCATCGTATTGGTTTGTCTTCGATGAATGAAATAAAAACACTGTTAAGATAAAGAAAAACATGTAAATTAAAGATAAAGAAAAACATGTAAATTATTTTTAAACTACTTCGCAAAATTTTCCAGTGAAATGTGAATGTTCTGAAATTCATCTTTCCCACTGCAAACCAAATCTAATCAAAAAAAGAGTTAAGATGTCAGATGACTGCCAGTGACCCCTGTGTCGGCCTGCACTTTGCATCTTTATAAACACATTTTATTTCTGATTCAGTCTTCATCTAAAGTATCTTTAGTAAAGATACTGAATATTTTTGTTTAACATATTTACTACTGGGTTATACGTGTAAGAGGTGGTTAAAATAAAAGCAAATAAATAGAACATGGAGCCTGGACATTATCAATGTACTTTCCAACTTTAAGTAAGCAAATAATCATGTTCAGTGGCATAAATCTAGTGAAAATAAACAAAAGGTTGAATTCACAATAAGTTAATACTAGTTAATGTAGTTTACCTCTAAACATAAGCAATTGAACTTGGGGAAGGAGGCAGGTGATTCTAGATTCTACTTTAGGCGTAAAATTTTTGAGCTTCAGTAATAAATTTCTCCATCATCACCTGTTCAAATCCTTTACATGAGTTTCTCAATCTATTGTTGATCTTTTCATTTTTTAAAATAATTGATAATCACTATAGTTTGAAAGATTTACATATGTTTGTCTTTAGTGATTTTCTTTTAACTCCCAGCCAGCTTTTCATCACATAATTCAGACATCCTTTACAGCATGTGTGTTTCATTAATGTTGCTACGTTAATCCACTGTACTCTTAAAAAACAGTATTTTACGCGTACTACCAAAGGAAACGTTATTTTTAGGACTTATTTTCGGATCCTCAAATAAGCCAAAAAGCCTCATGGCCTTAAAAAAGTCAACAGCTTTTGGAACTGTGCTTCTAATCATTTGTAATAATCTAAAAGGCACCATAGACTAAGTTTGAAATGGTCATATTTTAATTAGGGGTCATGGAATCCCATGTATTGATAGATACTCACATGACGTGAAATTCATTGTTGTAACATGTACAATTCAACCTATATATTCTTTTATAGATTCTCTTAGTATTAGGTTAAAATTTATGTGATTGTCATTTTGTAGGTAAAAAGTAATAGAATTTTAGCATTTCATGTAATTAAGATTGCTAATTCTAATTATGACTCTTGCTTCTGCTCTTTTTAAATATCATAATATCCTTTTGTGGACCAACTTTGTTGAAGGAAAAAAATACTGTCTCTGTATTAAATAAGGGAAGACAATGTTTGGTGAATCTGGGTATGGTAATAATTTTGCAAAGTACTTACACATCTTCCTCTTACATTAGAATAATTCAAACTCAAGTGTACTAAGTGCAAGTGTAATTATTATTTCTATTAATTTTAAAGTACACATATAGTATTAACAATCAAATTTTATTTTATTTTTTTAATAGTCAAATTTAAAGAAGCAGTTCCAAAGTATTTTTGCTCTGAGGCAGCATTAATTAATTATTCTAATTTTATTTTTAAGATCTAAAATTAAAATGTAGGATATTTTACCACCACCAGCAGGCAAAGAAGCTCTTTCTCAATATTTAAGAGCTGATAACCCTATGACAGAATGTAAAGAAAGTAGGAGAAAAACCTCTATTTTAAATAAATTTTTATTTAACAGTGGAAATTATGAAAAAATACTGATTCCATTAAGGCGGTTATAGTAAAAATAAAAGTATAAGGAAGATTTAATATATAAAACAAGGATATTGATATGGAATATATAAAGGCTTTCCTTATATTTAAACACTTCAATTCATCCACTAATGTCATTTTCACATTCACCCCGTTTAAAACATATTTTTGAATTACCAGAATGTTTGAGGTACTGTTTCCAGTGCTTTGGGTACCTTAGTGCCCCAAACTGCCCTTGCAGAACTAGCAGGAAGGAGGTAATACAAATAAATATAATTAGAAAGATAATTCATGGTATGATAAGTGCTATGGAAAAATGTAGCATGAGGCGAATGGGCTGTGGGAAGGGCAGTTTCAGGGAGGCGCTGCCTAGGAGGCCCACGCTCCCCGGAGGGAAGGGAAAGATGTCTTCCTTACTTCTGTGTTCCCTCTACTGCCACTGAAGTTCCTTGAACAGGAAATGGTGTTCTTTTTTGCTTTCCAATCATATCACCTGGTAAGTATCTAAAGTAAATGTGTATGTCCCATCACAATGGGCTGCATGAAACTTCAAGATGACGGGAAGCCATATTTAAAATAGGAAGGGGAAAGAAAACAGCACAGTTGTGGCTCACAGGCATAAATATAAATATAAAAAAACCCAGAAAGTCACAGAAGTCTCTAGATTATTTGTCATCTTTTTTTTAGAATATAGTTTTCTTCAGGGCAAGAATTATATTTAACATATAGTGCTTACTTCATATTGGAAACAAATGTTAAAAATATATCAATTCATTTACATTTATTGAACCAGGTGCCCCTAAATATTAAATGATTTTAGAAATGAGTCTTATGCATCACTTTTTGTGCTCACAAGTGAACAGAAAACAATAGATGAAAATGAAACATTCACTGTGAGAAATAAACTTATTGTCCAAAATCACTGAAGAAAAATAGATATTTTACAGAGTTTAGAATGATACATTTTAGAGGGAGAATCTTAACCTATATGTAGGATTCACTAAGTAATGAAATCTCTTATAAATATTGCCAATGACAATCATGTATTTTTAGTGTGATTTATTTATTGTTTTAGCTGAGGTGAAAAAGAGATGGTGGTGGCTGCAGCTAATGTGTAGTAGAAGAAAATTTTAAATATGTGATTCTGTATATCAATTAATATAAAATCAATGAGTCATAAGAACTGAATATTGGAGGGAAGATTTATTTTTTGATCTCTTTGTTTTGGTGCTGGGGAGTCAACCCAGGATCTTGTGCACACTAATTACACTAATTACATGCTTTATCATTGAGTCACACTTCCAGCCCTGAAGCAAAATAAAAACAATAGAGCATCAAGGTCAAAATCCTAGCCACTACTTGTACAGAGTAGTCCAATTTTAGTAAATATTGCGCCCTCCAGTGGCTGTTTTTGAGTCCCCCACCAACCCCTCAATTTTACCGGGGCTTTCAATTTTCCAGCTTCAATGATTTGGATAACCCAGGGAAGGCTCCCATTCGCTGTATCTAGGAGAAACTTTGGGAGGCTGGTTCAATTTGATTGTCCAATTCCACGCTTGCATAGAAAGTGATGCCGGTAAGATGAAGTACCTTGTGTAGGATGATAAAGTCCAGGCTCCACTAGATAGGCCTACAGAAGGACAGTCTTGCTTGATATATCTGATTGCCACACTAGAGATGAAAGAAAAGTTATTGACATCATTACCCCAGATTTTTCCGACCTCAAATACAGTCCAGCGCCATGTGAAGCTAAGCTAGTTCACAGAATGATTGCAGTGTGATTTAAAGAGGAAGATTACTGCTTTAGCAAATGAAAGGTTTACAAATCCATAGACAAAGGATGTGTCTGGAGTCTGTTTTGTCTGCAGCTTTGAGTGTGAGGAGAGAGAAGAGAAAGGACGTCTCTTGGTTGGAAAGGGTGGTCAGTGGACAGTCAGACAGCCGGGCCTGATTCATGACCTCATTCACATTTGGGCCTCAGCTTTCTCACCTGTGAAACAAAGGGACTCCACATATTCAGTATATGTGCAGTGGCAAAGAGAAGCAGGATCAAGCTCATACCAAAAAAAAAACCACCCAAATTTAATATTTATGAAAGCAAAATAAGCTGCTGATCTTAAATCACTTTAACAAATTCAAAATATAATATAAAACTGGCAGAGATATTTGTGTTAGGAAGGAAAAGAATAAAGCAGATCATCTTGTCTCTAAATTTTCTGTACTGTAGCCTCCTTCCCTCTCCTCTCTGGTCACCCTTTTTTTTTTTCCTCCTTACTTTCTGTTTCCGGTAACCATGGTGATACTCTTTCCCAGTGCAGCTGGCCCTTTTGGTGCGCATCAAATTTTACTCCCATTCATTGGTGGGGCACTAACAATGCCATAAAATTAATTTACCTTATTAGCATTTTTCTTCTTCCCTTTTTGCCAGGAAATACATTCGGGGAATTATCCTACACTTAACCTCCCTCTATAAGGGGCACTGTAAAACAGGGATACTCAACTGTTAATTTCAGTTACTAACATGAAAGGGATACTGATTATGCCCATGATTCAGCTCTGCCTCTGCTCTCAGGGACTGCTAAATCCCAGCACTCAGCCAGTTGCCACTTCCTTTTGCTTTTGTATGGAAACAGAATAAAATGGATTGCCCACTGAAATACCTATCAACCCTTAGATTCCTAACCTTTTTTATTTTTGTCCTTGCTCCTTTGTAAAGAAAATATTTAAAACTGCATACTTATCATACCTCCAAAAGGATTGAATTTGCCACAGGAAAATGCACATTAGCATATGAATGTCTTATTTGTATTTTGGAATAAAAATTGTCAGTTTATATTTGGAATATGATTAAGTGATATGCAACAGTTTTTAAAATATTGCCATTGTCTGCCAGTGACAAAACATAAGGCTCTTCTGGTGTCCTTCATGGAAATAGTAAAAATTCCTTAAAATCATCATTTATTCATGTATAGTTTGTGTAGCTTAACTTGTTTGTAATCTTATATGCCTGAAGATTGTCTGTATTTAAGCACTCAGAGCGCATCTGTGTGTGTGTGTGTGTGTGTGTGTGGTGTGCATGCCTGGCATTAACACAAAGGAGACCAGATGATGACATTCATAGGCTTATAGATTCGGCTCCTGGGGACACACTTGGATGGAGGCAATTAAAATGCCTGTCAGGCATTTGGTACCAGGACCTCCCTATGGCAAACCGCTAAATTGGAAGCCAAGGCTGTATCCTATTGTCAGTGAATGATGGCGGAGCTGAGTGGCTTGTCATCATTCTGGAAAATTCTGAGGCTAGTGAGCTCTCTCTCCCTCTCCCACTCGCCTTATTTTCCTTTTCGCCACTGCGGGGACTTTTTCTAATTTGCAGCCTCCCTTTCCCTGACACACACAGACACGAGCTTGTGGCTTGCAGACTGCGTCTGTCTGGAGCTGGAAAGCCAGCAAGCCAGCCTGGAAATAATGCTCCTGGAGAAGAATTCTGCAGCAGTTCTCAAAGGCTAGACGACTTGGGGGTATTGCTGCAGCTGTGCTGGTAATGGTTTGGGGCTTTACGCTTTTATTTTGCTTTATTTTTTATGTGTTTTTCAAAGGATCTGCTTTATGTGCTCTCACAGTGAGATGCTTTAAAATTCATTATTGAGCTTAAAAATTCAAGTATTGCGTTTTTTATACTACAGATATCAAGGGATAAATTTATTATCTGGATATAAGAGAACGCATTTGCTTACTGGTGAGTCGCAATTTTTGATATTTAGTTAACAAATCTATCTATATGTATGTTTTTTTTTCTTTTGTTTTGTTTTGGTAGATTCTTCGGCTTATCTCTGAGGAAGCATTGTTGGGAACTACTCACTCAGAAAATTAAAAGGTACTGCTTTTTTGGTTTAGCTGTTTAAATGAAAGAAAATCAGGGAAGAATTTGAATGTTTTATTTCAGTTAATCTCTTTATCTTTGGTCTTTTATCTGTAAGCCTACATTGATTATTGTCTGTAGCATGTGCAACTTCCTATGCAGATAAAACCAATACCCAAGGCTGTTTTGATTAGAAATTTTCTGAAAAATTATGTATTTTTACCTATGTTACAAGTCATTAATGAATGTTAAGATGTCTGGTTTATTTTCAGATTTTATTTATTGTGATTTTTTTTTAAAGTCCAAAATGTTTATCTACTTTAAAATGTATAAACTTGAACTTAGGAGTAATGTTTTAGGGAATAATTTTTACCTGCAGATTTCTTACTGATAAGTGATTTTTTTTAATGGGTAAAGGAAATGGCTTGCCTTTTCCAGGCAGAATGAGTGAGCTGTGGAGACGAAAAGCCCAGGAATGACTCAGTATTGTTGAGTTTTACGAATAAAATATTGCAACTTCTTCACCTATGTTTTTTTCTTCAACAATTTATATACCTAAAGGCCAAAGCTGTCAGTTCTTAAAAGAACTGATTTTACATATGCCTTATTTGGAATTGACAGCTTAGAAACTAATCCTTCATCTTACCACAGAAGCAGTTGAATCCATTGATCTGGGCCTTATGCCTTACATGAAAAATATTAATTTTAAAATTCAATTTCAAGATAGATATTGATTCAGGAGGGAAGTTATGGGTATTTTTTTAATTCTTTAACATTATGTTTGACTTAAGTGTATGTTCGTATCAAATCCTTTATTCTTAATTTTCCTTTTTAAAAAATGGAAGACATTTTCTGCCTTGCTGAGATCAATAACACTTTTTCAACCTTCCCTCGGTATCAAAGTAGGATTTCCTCTCAAGACTATCCAAAATATGTCATATAGTCAGTTTAGCTTTATTTTTACACACTTAAAAATGATTAGTGCTCAACTACTGACCCCTAAGCACGTATGAGTGTACACCTAGGGGTAGGAATATTTGGACCAATTGAAGGAGAGTGATACATTGTCCTTGGTTAATTTTCTCTGCGAAGTATAATCATGAAAACCTTAATTTATTCATTCCACGAGCATTTCTGAAGAGCTTTGCTTCTGAAGAGAGTTATTGTGGGAAACAGGGAAGGGACAGATGACACTGTCCACAACCTTACCCAGTGTTGGCAGCATCACACAAGATTTTTGAAAAGGAGGATGAATTTGCTAACATAAATCAATGTATTCTCAAAAAGGAAGTGGCATTCTTTCCGATATTGAACACCTTCTAATAGGATAGTCCTGGAGAAAGGTGAAATTATATTGCACTGTTCATCAAAAATGATTCAGTAGAATCATACAGCAAATCCCCCCAAAAGACTTACTAATCCTTCTGGAAATTGTAAAACCCTTGAGACCATTCTTCTTTCCAGGTCTCACTCCAAGTAAGTGAAACATTTTACGTTTGGTGAAAGGAACTATTTTCTACCTTTTGTAATCTAAATCCATACAGCATACATTTTATGGTCTGATTCCTAAACTTCAGACTCACTTAGCAACTTGTTATATTGATTTTAACCTTTAAGGTATTTGTTCAAATTGGAAAAAAGATGAAATTGGTATTTAACTTCTGAAAAAAAAATGTCTGCAATGCATTGTCAGTAGAAACCAATGAGCTCTGTTGCAATTTGAGAGTGGGAGAAGCAGCATGTGATCTAACCATGTGGCTCATGGAGGATACATTTTGTGGGACCGTTTTGAAACTCATCCATGGTGTGCTGGCAGACTGTGTGTAATAAGAACCAGCTTATCCACGCAGTCTGTAGGGAGTCAAACCCAAACAGAGTGTGGCTACTGAACTCTAAAAAAGTCAGCTGTCTATATTATGTATTTCCAAATAATCATGTTTGGACATTAGTTAATTCTTTACTGTTTTTTAGTCACGTTTTTAGTGCATAGTGCTCTACCGTAGTAGATGTTTGGTGAATTTTAATTTAATTACTTAATGGATAAATGCATTCATCAGAATTTTCTTCCATTATTTTTGTTTGCTTGCCTTTCATGATAGGATACAATGTAAAATAGACATTTAGTTCTGTTTTTTAGTTAAATGAAATGTTTATTATAAGTTTTTAAGTAATAATAAATAAGTAGTATGGGGTGCAAAAGCAAATAAAATATGTTTAGATAGTTCTCCAAGTTCTATGGAAAAAAGATTTGTCTTGATTTTAGAGTAAGATGGAAAGAATTTCTGAAATGTCCCATCTAGGGGACAGTACCAAACTGCAGCATAGGCCTTGCTTATGGATGCTCCCCAAATGCTACTCCCAGCCTTGGCATTGTTGGGCTTGTGATATCTTTGCCAAGGTTTTGCTACAGCAGAGGGGACAAGGTCTCTCTCTCTCTCTCTCTCTCTCTCTCTCTCTCTCTCTCTCTTTCTCTCTCTCTCTCTCTCTCTCTCTCTCTCTCTCTCTCTCTCTCTCTCTCTCTTTAATACTGTGAAACACTAGAAATAATGTCATAGTTACCGTAATGAACATAATGTCATACTTACCATAATGAATTACCATAATGTCCATAATGAATAACAAATCATTTAGGTTAGATAGATATTCATTCTATATAGTTAAAGAACATATAAAGAAACTTCTTGAATCATATTAGAAAATACCATTTTGTCTTGTTGTCAATTGTTTTTCAGTAATAAAACCGCATATGTTGTTTTAACTATCTGCTTGACAATGGCCTATGCTCTTAACCTGTGTTATCTGATTTAACTCACCCTATCATTCTTGGAGGTAGGTATGGTCTGCATTTTAGAGATGAGTAAACTGAGACTCCAGTTGGGCAGTTAACCCAAAGGCTGACTCCAAAGCCCTCATATAAATGACCAAATAATACATTAATTTTCTAGCATAATTTTTGGCATGTAATCATTTTCTTAATATTAAATTTGTTCTACTTACTGCAGTAAGGTTAAAACAGTATATAGTATTTATAAAACGGTATACATATATATAGTATTATGATTATTATGTATGTGAAGGCACATTTAAAATGAACATAACTCCAAATACATAATTATATTCAAACTCTGACAAATTATCATGTGTCTATATGCATGCTTAAATATATAGATTATATACATATTGAAAACCTTTATTTACAAAGAGGAATTAAGAATGAATGAATTCATAAAGCACCTTCTAAGACATTACCCCGGACTCATGTTGTCAAATATCATAATCTATATAAGAACATTAGAGAATTAAAAAATTAAATAGCACAATCTCATACCTCGTAAAGATTTTTAAAAATTAAAATAAAAGCAGAAGTTTCAAAATCCCAAAATAAATAAACATGCAGGAAATAGTGTCTTGAACAGTGTGAAAATTCCATTCAGAATTGAGACTGACCCGGAAAAGTCACTCATGGTTCCACAGAGATGTGCAAGAGCCCCTCTCGCTATAAAGGAGACGATACAACAGTACTCTCTTAGCCAAGCCGTGTGCAACAGAGTGGGAGAAGGAAGTAGTGCAGGCCCATTGGTACCATAGGCGAGGCAGGAGTCATTTCTTGAAGGACTTCATTGCCAGGAAGGATTACTAGTAGTGAAGAAATAACTTCAGAGAAAAGGGGAAGTCATTTATATGAAATTTAGGAATGATCAGAAGTACTGTATTCAAGGAAAAATAGTGCATGGAAGAGCAAACACCTTTAGCAAAAGAATCAAGGAAGGAATGGGCAAGCTTGGGAAGCTGGCTGAGTCTCCTTTATACTCTGGAAGGCTGTAAAGGGCAGTGGAAGGGAAGGAATGCTATTTCACTGTGCCATATGAGATGGTTGTTTGAATTCATGAATATTTCATTCAGTTATTCAGTTCAACTTAATACATTAAAAGAGAACTTTAAGGGTCAAGTTAAGGAATTGTTTTTAATTCAATGGGAAGTTATCAGTGGTATTTTTGAACAGGAGATGATTTTGACCAAACTCTGTGTTCAGATGATTTATTTTGTAGCTCAGTGTGAGACCAATTAGAGTTGTAAGTGAGAGTATGTTGCAAAAAGCACCATTTTGGATGCTGTAACAGAATAATCGAAGATAAACAATAGACTGTGGGATGATACTGATTGTGGATATGGAAAAAAGTCATAAAACTGAAAGGTGTTTCTGGGCTGAAGTTCAGCTGGGGAGTTCAGCAAATCTGTACTGGCAGAAGGAATGAAAAGTGGAAGGACTCAAGGGTGAGTGTGACATTTGAATCTGATGACTGGGGAAACAACTGAGATGAAGGAACATGCGGGCTGCTTGAGTCGAGAGGTCCTCTTCTATTTTTGTTATTTCTTGAGTTTCTCCTAGACTATCTGAGACATAGTACACAGCCAGGAAGTAGGGGATGAATGAGTGAGAGGGCAGTAAGAAGAAAATGAAGACGTGGGTGCGGATCACAACGGCTGGGTATGTGGGTGGTGGATTGAACCAGGAGACTGCAGCTTCATCATGAAGGTTTAAGTTCAAGGCTGAGGAGAAAGCTGGGTGGGCAAGGTTGTGGGCGACATTACCGAGAAAGATGCAGAGAAAAGGGCGAGAGGAACACTCTGGGCAACACACGCATTACAGATGCATAGAAAGGCAGAAATTCAAAAACAATTGAAGGAGGAATTTTTTAAATACAAAGAAAGAAGACCACAGCCAGTGTAACAGAAAACAAAGATAATGCTCATATTCTCCAGAATTCCTTTCATCCTACTATATTTAAATTTACATACTCAAGACCAGGTGTATGTGTATGTGTGTGTGTGTGTGTGTGTGTGTGTGCGTGTGTGTGTGTGTATGAACATTGCCTTTTTCTCACTCAACAGTATCTTAAACATCTCTTTACATTATTGACCCACCTGCATAATGTTTTCTCATGTGCATATTGGACATTTTTATGGCCTACTGTTTCCAATTTTTCTTATTCATGATAATGCTGCAATGGAAT